GCACAAGGAATGTCTTAAAATGTTCGCTCAAAGGATCCGTGATTAACAGCTTAACATACATTTTTGTAGCAACCTGTATATTATCTTTTAGAAAATTATTTCACGTACACACACCCTTGGTGAGACTATCTGCATCTGAATACCAACATTTCATTCAAGTTACTAAAACTGATTCAAAACTGTGCCTTAGAAACGAGGCAAAACTGAACTATTTGTATTATTTTTTAAACACCCAGTGGAAAGACAGCAAATCTACGGCTCTGATAATAATTGACCATTTAATAAAAACCGTCAAAAGTCGCAAACATGTCAAAGTGTCACTGAAGTTGTCGCAGAATTTAAAAGAACGCCTGCAAATGATGCACACCGTTGTAGCCGAGGCGGCGTTGTCTTCGATCGTGAATGTAGTATAAACCGATAAAATAATCCAGTCACGCAATTATTGTAATTGCTAACAGCACTAGTGGCGCGGCAATCGAATCTAGACGAGCAGCAGTACCAAGGCGTGCTGCAGAAGAGAAAAAAAATGAGAAAAGCGAGCGAGAGAAAGTCTACGAGTGCACTAGCACACAATCTGGGCCAGTGGCGGGCTGGCTGCTTTTAAAGAAGGGGTTGAGAGGTAAAATCGCATTCGACAAATGAGTTACACATAAACGGTAGAAAGTATAGAAGATAGTAGCATAGAAAATGTAAAAACACTAGTAAAATCTTGAAATACTAACACAAATTGATTCTACTGATGTCACATATAAATTTTCATTTGAATAAAAGTTACAACTAAGTAAAATTATTCATATTCATTTTATACAAACGTTGTTAGTGCAGTCAATCTTGAGCATTGAAAAGATTTTTTAAGATTGTATAGCTATCAATTTTTTTAAGCATACCCAACAAGTTTTCTGTTTCATAAATTGACTTAAAATTATTTTATTTAATGCAAAGGTACGTGCAATTGTTTGCAATTATTACTATAAAAGTTACCTATCTATTACAGGACCCCATGGGAAAAAATATTCAATGTATGATAGACCTGACCACCATACATATACCTTTTTCTATATTCGTTGACAAAGTTAGCTCCTGCTCCAGGTTATGTGAAGGAGTGAAGGTCAACTATTGGTTTTTTATAGTAATACAATTTTTATCGCCGGTTTCTGAAGGAGCGGTCAATTTTACTTTTGAATGCGTGGTTGACATATTTTTTAAGGTCATATTCAATTCATTTTTGACATGTTGCTATTTTCAAATTTAAACGGTAAATTTTGATAGATTTGAGTTTTCTATTAAAAATGGTAGTTTTATATCGAAAAAGTAATCCGTAATGTATGTAATGAAATGCTTAGATCCGTTTTTCTCAGAAATGGAGCATTTTATCGAAAGAAATAAAGAGTACCTTTTTTGTAGAGGAAATGAAGATCTGTCATATGCTGGCCTCTAAATTTGAGAATTTCGACAAGCAAAAAAATTGGGGCAAATTTTAGCTAACGACCCTCTTAATTGAGACGCCCCTGATCAAAGGCCCCATTTAGGGGGGCGCTCCGTTAGGAAGCATTTCTCGACCAATGCTTATATGAAAAAATATTCTTATTTTTGGCAATAGAAGTGGTAAATTATTGGACACTAATTATGAGACACCTTGTATAAATAAAAATTAAATGCTATTCGTTGATAAGCGCTTCATTTGAGAACGGCTGGACCAATTTGGCTAATTTTTTTTAAATGTTTGTAATAGTCCGAATAAGATTTTTAAGGAAAGAAAAATTAGAAAAATTGCACGGAAAATTGGAAAATTCAGCACAAACTGAAAATGCTTTTATCTATGAGATTCTTGAATGAACTCGAGACCATAACTCACGATTCGACCTATGGATGTGCGTAATTCTTTTTTAGTTTTCTTCGTTATGGTCCTGAAAAAGTTTTTAGGAAAAAAAATCGAGACAATTACAAGCGAAAGTCGGGAAATTCAGAAAAAATGCAAAAATCATAATTTTGTATGTATTCCCGATCATAACTGACGATAGGAACGACATACATATTTAGTTGATTCGTTTTTTTTTTGTTTTGTTGGTTATGCTCCCGGGATGGAAATAAGAAATAACTCAATTGAATGTTTCCCACTGGCGTACGACTGATTGTGATTGTACTCCTCCTCAAATTGAATATCCATGGCCACAAACGTTAATAGATACATGATTACTCAGAAATACGTGTTTTTCTCATTCTTACTTTGTTTGCACATTTCCAATAGCTTTTCGCCAATTTACAAAACGGTCACAAACAAAATTCAAATTTAAACAGGACAACGTCTATCGGATCAGCACTTTCCTTGTTTTCCAAATTGTACGTATAGACTAGGCGGTATATGTTTTGGTTTGGGTGAATTGTTTGGCTTTCAAACATCATTATAAATGAAAAATTTTTTATGCGCATAAAAAAAACACGGGCGGCAAATATGTTAAAAAAAAAATCGAAATATATATCATATTTTTCTTCCTATTTAAGTATGTATCTTTTCACGAGTTGATTTTAGGCGAAAATGGAAGAGGAAAAAAATGTTTGTAATTAAATTTTGACTAGTTACAAATCCAATAAATCATGATTATTATTGGGAAAAGCGAAAAAATCGCTATCACATTTTAAAGTAGGTTGCCAATGATGAAAAGTATTGCAAACTTAGAACTGGTAAGTACTCGGAATACCAAAGGTATTTTTCGAAAAATTAGCCCGGATGNGGATTTAGATTTAGTTGTAATATATTTTGACATATCGGACATTGATATAGTCCAAAATGCGTATAGGTACTTTAAGTAAATCCAACTAATTAGACCGTGTGAGGCCAATTTTATCCAAATGTGTAAAAATATACAGGGTGTTCCATTTAAATTACCAAAGTTAACACCCGCGGCCATTTTGTTTGAACTTCATATTCGAAAATTTCATAAAAAATCGTGCAACTTTCACATTTTTTTTTATAACTCTTAAAACAAAAAAGTTAAAGGGGGGTCAAAATATAGCGAATCACCCTGTACCTAGTTATAAGTCTATAAGTCTGTGTAGAAATTTTATTATAAGCAGATACCTAATGTTGATGTTGATTATGAAAATATTTAGTTCCTGTTCCTTTAGTTGATTATTTTATTTTTGTTTTGTTAATTAAAAGATTGTGATTATAAGTGATGAATTTATAGGAAGAACGTTTCTGTATCTTTAAATTAGAGCTTGTTTTTTTCTTCGGTTAAATTCCTTATTTACTATTTATTTAATTAAAAGACTGCATGATTAATGATTATTAATAATTATTATTGGAAGAAAACTACGATTCAAAAACATTGAAATAAACATAAGTATATTGAAAGTGTTTAATAAAAAAACAAGTTAAAGGTTTTTAAGAAGAAACTCAAAGTTTAATTTAGTTTTGTTAGTAGAAGTAGAAACATAAGTAATTAATAAAAATACTGAATAAATAATAAATGTTAATGATGATTGTTAAGTATAATAGCATGTTTATATTTCGCATTGCAATACCAAAATTATGACTTTTTTAAGTTTTAGAAATTTCTCGAGAATTCGAGAATTCCCGGGAATTCCTAGTCGAGAATTCTCGAAACCCGAGAAAAAAAGTAGGCCGAGAAATCAGAAACCCTATCTATCACCAGGTAAAGTTGGACTTGGGGACAGCCTGTATATTTTTTAATTTCTTAAACCCATATTATATAGGTATGGAAATATCTTCACACAAATTAGCTGTCACCGTCGATTAAATAAATTGAAATGGTGGAACTAGGTCTCATTTATTTAATTAATTTAATAGAAAATTAAGTGAAAGTGGTACATAATCGCTCAGCTTGAAAAATACGCCTACCTTTTTTCTATGCACTACGAAATAAAACGCTCTAATCTAGTGATTTTTTGATTCACACTATTATCGAAATAATTATTTACTTACTCGTTACCAGTAAACTTTATCTTTTAGTTCAGACAATTCTTAATTAAAAAACGTAAATTTAATGTTTTATTGCTTGTTGAAATGTGAAAAAAGCATAATTATTACTAAGGCAAAATCAAATTGTAGCTTTATAAAAAAAAATGTATAAAATCTGGTCATTAAAATTCTCCAATCAAATCAGTGGATAAAATAAAGAGCTGATTTTTTTTTAGTAATCTAAAAGTTACCTTTTTATCTCCCTATAATTTAGTAAAAAAATGTTCATTCAAGTAAATACCTCAGACACTTACATGATAAAGAAAAAAAATTGTACCTATTAAAACAAATAAGATTTCCATTAATCAGTAGGTAGATCAACAGATACATAGGAAACAGTATACCTACAGCCTTTTTACGAATTTAGTACGTAACCTTATTCTTCCCTAAAAAACATGTCCCGACTTGTCTGGATAACATTCTGTTTTATTGGTTATTGCATACATTTATATTCTTCAATTTTCAAAAATCACGCAATTTATTTTACATTTTTCAGTAGATAGGTACATATAAAAATGATTCCTATAACTTCAATAAAGGAAATTACTTTATCTTGATATCTATCCCTAAATAGGTATTTTTACACTTGAACTCTAACATTAATTTTTGTAAGGTAGATAGGTATAAAATAGATACAGCAGTATTTTTTTAGTGTAAATTTAAAACCGGTATTGAAGCGAGTCGTTAAAAACGTACATTCTTCTATCGGAATCGGCGTGGTGAAAGTAAAAACTACTACCTTATCGATTTAAATAAAATTAAAAAGTCCCGTTGAGGGTTAAAAACTCTCCCAATAGTGCATAAATACTACTGGAGTCTTAAAAAAATCTAGCACATACAAACCGTGGATCAAAAAATGTTCCTCGTCATTTAAAAATTAATTACTTCAAGCAAATACTGGGAAGGGTAAGAGCGCACTCGAAAATCAATTAAAATAACGAACGCTCGGGAAAAAATATAAAATTATGTAACGAATTATCTGTCACAAACGTCAAAAAAAAAAACTACCAAAACTTACTTGTCGGCACCGGCACAGGCGTGTCAGCCAGGACTGATTCGATGATATCGGAGGACATCGTCTTCGGGTTGTTATTACCCAAGTCCTCGGCCCTCGGGAGTACCGCGGCCAGTTTGCTGAAAACCGCTTGCAGTTTGGAGTCTTTGGCGACCCGTTCTTCTTGAAAACTGCTACGAAACATCTCGGCTCGTGTCCGCTGCTGTCAAATATTCACAGCCTGCCTAGCATCATATGCGATATCGAATGTTTAATAACAATTTCCAGAGCCGCCTCACCGGTCGCCGGCTGACAAAGAACTCAGCTTTGCCATCAGCTGATCGACCGGTAGAACCCAGCACTGGCTCTGTTGCGACCAATAGGAAGCCGATCCACTCTTTATAAACCCTCGGCCTGGCAACAGCCGTCAAAATCAGCTGTAACGATCGATACGCTCTAAGAACAGACGTACGCTCTCCCGCTCCATCACGCTCCAACACCGGGTTGCTCTACTCCAGTTTTCCTCAATTATTTCTATTATTACGCGAGATTTTAAACCGGAACTGGTTGAAAAGCACAATTTCCATAGCTTTTCTACCAATTCCGAGTTCAGTTCGAGGTAATTTCGTGTACTTTAAGGGCAAATCCGTCGAAATCGAAGCATACACAAAGAACAAATAAACCGGTACTCTGCGAGGTCATATTCGGGACGTAGCTCTTGGATTTCCTGCACGCCGAGCGTTTCCTGTGTTGCTGCCTTCTCTATCTTTCCTTACTTTTCTGTTCGTTTATTGCAAGTCGGGTAGATAGTGTTTATGAACAAATGCGAGCCAGTAAAAAACATCTGTTTTTTATTACAGCTGTTGTTGGAAGATAATGCACTTTCTTGCTTCGATAAAGTTTCCCCTTGCTCGCGACAAATTTTTAAAACGGTGCAATTACAGTGATTAATTATCAATGTAATTTGTAAAATAAAACAGTGTAATTAAATTGTCTTTAAATCTGCCGTGTTTAGATACGGTTACCTGTATTTTTTTCTTTAGGTGCTAAAGCGGCTTCCAAAGCGAGTTAAGTCAAGAAACGTTTACACTCAAACACTTTTTTGTGAAATTTACCTACACATTAGACTAGGTTATATCAACGCCACATAGGTATACCTAGTTTTGTTAAATTAGCTAAATACTACAAGGAAAATTAGATTACATAGTTACAAACGTAATTTTATGCGTTCGTTAAAAATTTAAATGTAAATTTCCATGAAAATTTATCATGTACCTACGTTGAGCTAAGAAATTTTCTATATTCTTTATCTGTGTCGCAATTATACCGGGTGGATCACTTTAGTGATGCACATATGGGAAACTTTACAAATGGAAAAACGGGGAAATCAGGAGTTTTAAATTATTCTATTCAGATGCGCTCTTAGACCGATTACATTTTTCACAGTTTTGAAAAAATGCAAATGTAAACCAGCTAGAGGAACTCCATGCATCACGAGTGACGTATCTTCAGAAGTGACAGATTACAAGCTAAAATGAAGTTTGAAGGCAAAAACTAACAGCTCAGAAGGACGCTTAGAAGATTTTAATATAGCAAATATATACCAGGGCGGATCTGTTTTTAGGTGGATGTGAGAGGGGGCAAGCAATTTTTTTCTGGATTCTGGAAAGGTTGAGCGGGTTTTTACTTATATCTTGGAACCTATGCATTTTGGAAGAATATTGAAGAAGAAAAAAGTTTTAAAATTGAATTTTGCACAATATACTGGAAGTTAAAAATGTTTAAATTTATTACCGATGTTGCAAAATAGCAATAATTGATGAAAAAAGGCAAAATAATCGAGTTTTTCGGATAATTTTTTAAAAATATTTTAATTGCTCCAAGGGCATTATAATTTTGGTAAAAGAACTTTAAAGTATAATAAAACAACATACCAAATTTCATAAAAATCGGTTCAATAGTTTTCGCAAAATAATTTTTTTAAAAAAAATTTCGAATTTTCAAAATGTTGCACAGCCTCAAATAAAGCATCTAGATAGTCATCATAATCGGTTCATTAGGACTGCCACAGTAAATTTTTAAAGTTAACACTCCTTTTTTTATTTTTAAACAATTAGATTACATTAATTTATCAATTTGCAATTTAGTTTTTTTCAANCAAATTTTCCCAGTAAATTTTCATCAATTTTCACTATTTTTCACAAGTTTTTTGAGGTTAGGAAAAAATTGTGAGGTGATGGGCCAATTCTGACCCCAGATTCGTGTTCAGGAGGCCAAATTACTACGAAAAATATATGTCGCATAAAAAGTATACCCAACTTTTTTTTTTGTGTGGCTGTGTTATTATGCAAAATCTATCAAACCGATTTTGATGAAATTTGGTGGGATGATTTTACGTAACCGGAAGTTTTTTTAAGCCAAGTATAAAGGTCCTATACCCAATTTAAAGACCCCAAAAAAATTTCCTAAAGAGAATTGTTTTTTAACCCCATTTTTTGGCGATTTTTTCGCTTTTCCCAATAATAATCATGAATTATTCAATTTGTAACTACATAGTCATATTTTGTAAAAAAAATTTTTTTCCTCTTCCATTTTCGCCTAAAATCAACTCTTCAAAAGATACATAATTAAATAGGAAGAAAAATATGACATTTTTCGAATTTTCTTAACATATTGTGCCACCAAAAGTTAAGTCCACGTTTTCTTTATGCGCATAAAAAAAATTTCATTTCTAGTGATATTTGAAAGCCAAAAAGCCAAAAATCTCCGTAGATATACGATTATTATATGCGTCTGGACTACTATGTGTACCTTTTCTACTCATTATTATATCCATCAATAAGTATAACTTCTAGTGAACCCGAATAATTTTACTTGAAATCTGAAGAATGATCGTGAAACCCGAAACCTTCGGGTGAAAATGACCCTGCCTCTGTCCCAGGCCGACCAGCGACCGGCCGACAACGGTGTAAACCGCGAAACCGCGGTACTGGTAGGTGTGAGCGGACCGTAATAATTTTCGACGAACGTTGACCGCGGTCGTTTCACCGTAAGCGTGCGGTTATTTTCGTTTCGTTATAATGACATACAGGGCGCAGTGGTTGAGCCGGGAACAGCCATAACCGGGTCTAGAACGGTCTAGCGCGGTCGAGGTCCGCGCAACGGTATACAGGGTGTCCTACATTACGCGTGAAACTCGTCCTCAAGATAGGGCGTTGTACCGCAAGGTATAGTTCTTCCGAAGTCAGTTGAACATGCATAAAAAATCCGAGCAATCAAATTTAATGAGTGTCATGGGCGTCCCTAAAAAAGTTTTCTGCTAATGGTAGAAAATGATAATAATTTATATATAATGTGTTGAAAATTTCTATTATATGTTCATTTGACCAACAACATATTTTAATTATTTATGTTCTCAAACAATTTTATTATATTGATGGTAAATTTCGTTTTGTTCCGTTTCAAAATGCCATGTTGTAATAATATTGGTAAACCAAATATCCCTCTTATTTCTTCCTTTCGTAATCGTAATATAGTGATTAATAGAAGGGTGCCTAAAATAAATTAAAATTATCTGAATCACACCAAATTCCGCATTCCCGCACTGCACTGCTAGGCGACTTGAATTTTATGACGCAATGGACCAGAGCAACAGTGCTCGTTGCCCGCACGCCCATTCTTCAACTGAGCGTATACATTGTTTCTACCACCTGCACGTTAGTTCGACCAGACCTGTATATGGCTAAATAAATGTGGGAACAAGATTTTCAAATATTTCAATGTCGAGTTCTTCAACTGACTTCGGAAAAACTATACTTCGGTCGGAGACGTTGCCATGGGGGAGTTACATTACTTCAGTACATTTTTTAGATAGGATTATTTTTGCAATAATAGACACCCACCTCTCTTACACCGGGTATCTACCTCGACAAGGTGTCCCAGTTTTAATCTGCCAAATTGAAATAAGTAGGTTATGGGGAGTTTGACTAAAAAAAAATTCCTATATGCCAGGGCGTGTAGTAATATGGAAAATATGGAATTGTTAGGAAATTTCACGGATCAGGGAATTTCCCAAATCATCGTGAAATTTGTGTGCATCCGAAATAAATATGGTATCCACATGAGAACATTACATTATAATCTAGAAAATGCTGGTTAAAAAAAAGAAACCAACTGCGCCAGTTAAAAGAACACAAAAAATTACATCCGCATGGTTATAGAATTTATTCAGTCCGACCACTAAAACTAGCTTCAAACTAACTTCAAAAAGAGCGATTTTTAATTTTTTTTTATAAAAATCAAACGAAGGAAGATTTTTGTTGCGTGTGGAACAAGCATTAAATATCAGTGCTTCATTGTCCGTATAAGCTTTTCAGTATCTCCAATAGTTTCTGAGATCCCTGTAGTAATAATAATCAGATTTGGTTCACCCCGTATATAAGTACAATGACTGCTTAAAAGTTGACACCAAACGGGAACATTTTTTAGATGATTTTAGAAAAGAATTGTTTCTAATAATATTTTGCTTGTCTGTTAAATAAGCTCAACTTAAATATACTGACACATTTTTAATTTTAAATAAAATCGCTTCATTTTAAATCGGCAAAATTAAAAAAAAAAGTATTTCAAAAAGAAAGGATTTATTCGCCCAATTCTAATAACTTTCATTTAAATTTAACTAAATTTAAATTTCCTTATGGAAATGAAGTAAAATCATAAAATAAATCCAAAGATCATTTTTTTCCATTTTTGTTAATGGTATTATTTTAATCAGAATGCCATCTTTCAATATCACTAATGGAGTAAATATTAGCGGACATAAAGTTCATAATTTGACTAGAAATAATATTTGCTGATTTTGTACAATATTATTAATTAACGCTAATAAAAATTAGGCGTATTTTTGGATAAATGATTATACAGGGTAATTCACAACTTATTCAAAAAAATTTGGAATAGACGTGTCATGAAAAAATGAAAAGTTAATATTGTAAATAAAATTTTTTGTAAAATCCAAGGAAAAAATTATTGAAGTTGTAGTATTTACAACCTTTACATCGCTAGGATCCTGTCATCTCTAGCGTCATTCGCCCACGTGGCCCAAGGCGATTCCGAATACTGAAATCCGATTTTAGTATTATTGTTGTTGCGATAGTGTTTACATTAGTTTTTTAAGTGTAAAAAATGGCATACGTGTATAGCAACTCGAAGTTGATGGATATCGTTTTAATTTACGGTGAAGCAAAACAACATTTGTGTTATGGTGAAGCAAGACAACATTTGTATTAGTTCGTAGAAACTG